ATTTGTTGACGCCATGAAATTTGGAAACAACAGATTTTTCCCTTAAAATGATACATTCTCTCAGTTTAAACTTTTGATCTGTGATTTGTGTTCTATTCTGAATAAAATATTACAAAGTAAGATTTTGAATTCTATTCTGGATTTGACAGGGAGCCAGTGGAGAGAAGCTAAAACTGGAGAGATATGAGCTCTCCTACGAACTCCAGTTAAGACTCTGGCAGCAGCAGTTTTGATCAACTGAAGACTTTTTAAAGAAGTTTTTGCACACCCAGATAACAAACCATTGCAACAGTCCAGTCTAGACGTGACAAATGCATGTATATGTAATTAGCTGCCATCACTGAACTCTTACTCTCTAGTTGCTTAATTTGTCTGTCATGATTCACTTGTGACTGCTTTGTTTCTTTAGTTTTCAGATTGCATCTAACCTCTCCATGGAATGTTATGCTTTAACGTTTGGGATCAACAATTTCATAGCCCTCTCACTGCAGACCATCATTACCGTCACTGTTGTTGATGAAGCTGCTCTGGGACTGGACATCGTTAAACAAGTATGTCTCCTTTCATTGCTTCATTTAGTTACACCTTTTAACAGCAGAACTGTGAGAGTAAATACTAAAAACAAAAGTCTAGTTTAAAAGAAAGCACTTCATTTCCTGTTGAATAGAAGACACTGGAATGTGAACACTGACATCTGGTGGTGTTTATTGACTCCTGCATGCAGTTCAAGCCTTAAAATGAAAAATGAAGATATTATCTTTTGTTTGTTTCCTTGTCTGTAGTTCATCATATATGGAAGCTACTATGCTGCCATCTCATTTCTCTTTCTGATACGAGGAACCTACATTGCCTGTGTGCGTAACTCAGAGCCCAAAGAACCAGGGTCTGGTGTAGTGGTGATCTCTTCTGAACGTTTCTGACCAGCATCAATAAAATATTTATGAATGGTGTCACTAATGAGTTTGTCGATTCTTATAATTACCTGGGTATCTTGGTCGATTCACATCTCTCATTTAAGCCTCATGTCAAAAACGTGGTAAAGAAACTGAAAGTAAAACTGGGTTTCTTTTTCAGAAATAGATCCTGTCTAACTCTGAACACTTTTTTTTTTTTTCATTCAACCTTTATTTAAACCAGACCTGGGCATTGTATGGCCCCAGGGCCACATGCGGCCCTTTGGTTGACTCTCACCGGCCCCCGTAAGGGGAATTACAAAATACATATGTAAACAAATGAAGTTAACCAAATCCAGATATAGATCCTCTCTCACTGATGATGTCAGCTTTGCTTCACATGTCCACCTCAGACCTTGAACCTGACTTTAACATTTCCGTTAAAGCCCAACAGAGACTAGACTTCTCTCACTAAACAAGAAAAAAGAATTGATAAACACCAAATGAGATGTTTAGACTACAAATGTAGGCACGTAAAGAACCGGGACTCGAAATCACAGTTCAGTGACGATCACTATTATATGATGTTTCATAATATTTGGAGTACAAAGACAATATTGTGATATATTTACAAAGCTAAGAACTTTTTCCAGCAGTATATAAAACTCAAAATGAGTTTTGGGGTGAATGTGACTGAAAATGATCACTAATATAACATCACAAATGGTAAAAATGTTAACAGTTTACCATTGTACTGGGAAATTTAATTTAATAAATGACATTTTTTGTAAGGAAACCTCGCTTTGTCGTTGCTTAATCATAACAAATACTCTTACCAGCTTGTTAAAACAGTGCTATGTACTGCTTTTAATAATGAAATACTATTATTATGCAGTATTGAGTTAACTTGAAATCAGGTCTCTCTTGTAAATGAGTCCTCGAGGCTCAATGGGATTTACCTGTCTAAATAAAGGTTGAATGAAAAGTCATTTGTGCCAGCCCTCCACAATATTTGTTGTTTCTCATGTGGCCCCATGGAAAAAATAATTGCCCACCCCTGATTTAAACAGATAAATCACATTGAGTCTCGAAGACTCATTTACAAGTGAGACCTGTTTGGACAGACAAAAACAGTGGTTAACTGGACACATGTAGGAGTTGGAGGCAAAAAAAAATTTCTATCAGAGTTTTTTCTTGGCTGAGAAAAACCCCTAATATTGAAAAAACACCTCGTACTAACAAGCACATATTTACGTAGACATTCTGCAGAGCAGAGCAGGAAGAAGGGAGAGATGAGAGTGGTCAACAACGCTTACCGATGCTCTCGAGGTCACTGTAATCAGTCAATGTCCTCCGATGAGATCCATAATCATTCTCGAGGTATATCAAGGAATGGCCAAGAATAACCTCTGAGTATCCAAGAGTCCTGAAATGATGACACAAAGTTTTTTCAGCGGGGTTTCATCTGATTATCAGTTGGAAATTCCTCAGGGAGGGGGGTGGTGAGCGTCAGATCACATTTTCTCCAGGCGAAATTCAGATAAGGTGGCCTTCAAGGACAACCAAGGCGACCAAAATTTAGATAAACACACAGTTGTTTTGGGGACAGGCAGAACTTAATGACATCTGCCTTGAGTCTGTGTTTGATCCACTCGGTTCCAAAATGTCCAAAATAACATGGCCACACCGATGAAACATGTCTGAGTAAAAATCCCCAAGATCTGATCCATTCAGCCCAAAGCATTTGAGTCCGGGTACTCGAGACAAGAAACCAAACCATCATAAAGGCAAGCAGCATGATCGGGTCCAAATTTGCTGCTGACGACTTCCTTGATTGTAGATAAAAACCAGGACCAGCTGAATCCAAAAAGCAGGAACCAGTTATCGTGAATCCAATTAAATATGCGTCCTTAAAATCCACAGATGGCAGCAGAGATAGACACATCATCAAGTCTTCCAGTCAATGAGATATCCAGCTGCGTACGTGCCAACAGGGTAAATCGGCTCGCCTAAAGCCTGTCTTCTCTCGAAGAAATGCTGTAAATTGAGTTGAGGAAACAACTGGTCAGAACAAGTCCATAATTATGGTTCGGAAGATATGCAAGAGAGTCTCAGAAGCAGTTTCACAGACAGACAGAGCAGCAAAGCAGAGAGGGAGGGAGGGAAGCATCCGATCTCGGCTTGAGCAAGTGGTGAAGTAGTGGTGAAGCTTTAACCCCCTGTAACTGTGATTTTCCTTCCCTCCATTGACTACGATTACATTATTTACATGAAGCCCCTAAAAGCACTCTGCAGATGTTGGACGCTGTCTATCATGGTGCACTAAGATTCATAAGTGACTGTAACTACCATACCCACCATTGCACCCTATATAGGCCTGTCATGACGATAAACAATAAATCAATTACTCGCATGATAAATTAAAATTATCTACCTTATTTTCATTCATCGGCTTTATCGTTTCTTCGTGTCTCTCTCTTTCTACTGAAGACACTGGATGACAAAAAGCTCAACTCTGGTGCTCTTCACTGACCCCTCCCTTTCTCTTTAAAATCCATTTTAATTGTCCAAAACCACATTTTTGGATCGTTAAAAGCAGCTAAGCTAAGAAGCTAAGCTACGAGCTAAGCTAACAGGTCGACCTCGGGGGGGAAAAAAAACCTCCGTCTTGTTGAAGCTCCAAAATTCATGTTTGAAACTCGTGCCTTCGTTTAAAAAGTTTTTCTCTGCAAAAAGAAGTTGAGAACTTGATTTTTTTAAATTAAAATCTTTGTGTAAAAAATGCTATGCTAAAGAGCTCCAACCACACAGAGCGTCCACCAATTTGAGAAGCGAAGCGAGACAGCCCATGTCATGTCAAGGGGACTCCCTCCCATTTTTCATAAAAAGACACGCTGCTCGCTCCCTCACTATCCATCCTTTGGGTCAATCTTATACTGCCATCCGGTGGTTGAAAAAAGGTACTACACACAAAACAAACTAACAAACATTGCTTCTTAAATTTGACAGTAATTACTAATTATTGTAAAATTTCAAACAATATTATTGTTTATCGCAATAATTTCTGAGACAATTAATCGCCCAGAAAAATTTGTTATCGTGACAGGCCTATTCAGAGAGTCAGAGTTTCTTTATTGTCATTCGCACCTCATGTGGTACATGTGGTGGAGCGAAATTATGTACATGGGGTCCCAGTTACATCCAACAATAAAATGTATAAGAAAAACAGTAATAACATCTAAGATATGAACTAGAAAAACATCAACTAAATATACACTAAGCACTCATAACATAAAACATTGAACATCAGCACAAACATGAACACGAGTCTCTGAGCAGATGTGCACGCATGAACACATCAACATTGAAACAGATCAGCAGCAACATGAAACAGATCAGCAGCAACATGATGTGGTTTTTCACAGTGATTATTCTAGTTAGAGATTCATGAGTCTAACAGCCTCAGGGTAGAAGCTGTTCCTCAGTCTAGTGGTTCTACACTTAATGCTCCTTAACCTCCTTCCTGAGGGGAGTGGGGCAAAAAGTGTGTGTGCTGGGTGAGTGGGGTCCTTCATGATGCAGGTGGCCCTCTTCCTGCATCTGGAGGTGTAGATGTCTGTGATGGTGGGGAGGCTGATTCCGACAGACTTCTGTGCAGCCTTCACCACTCTCTGCAAAGCTTTTCTTTCTGCAGCTGTGCAGCCTCCATGCCACACTTTGATGCTGGAGCACAGGATGCTCTCCACTGCACACCTGTATTCACTGGTTAACTGGACATCATTAACTTCACGCAGACTCTCCCACTGGTACATTTTCATCTTTAAACACTTCTTGGTCGGTTGTCTTCAAATATCTCCTCCTATACAGTATGTCTGAGTGCAGCTACAGCGTGCGCTCTAAGGACATTATTACCTGCAGTGTCCCCTCAATGTGGACTGAACTTGGCAAAAGGGCCTTCTCCTACTCCGCTCCTCCTGGAACACCTTGCAAAAAGACCTGAAACTCTCAGCCTTGACCTCGCTAAGGGATTTTAAACATCTGCTAAGTTCATGGCAAAACCCATGCAGACATGTTCCTGTTTTTAGCATTTTTACACCGCTTTATAAATGTAGCTGTTTTTGTTTTGTTTTTAAGCCATTTTTTCCTATTTAATCTTCATTTTATATATATATATATATATATATAAATGATTGCCTATTGTTGTTTGTACCTCATTTGTGGTTTTTGTTTGAAAAAGGTCTCTCTTGTACCTGAGTCCTCGTGGCTCAACGAGACTAACCTGTATAAATAAAGACTGAATGAGTGCATCAACAGCATTACTGGCCTGAAATTACTGATTGTCCTGTTCATAACTTTCAACATCTTACATTCTACCCAGGAGAAGTGAAACAGAACAGTAAAACTATTTCTGATAAGAATTAAAGATTAAGCCCAGGAATTTGTCTGTTTGCTTGTCACGTTTCATAAATACTGGGAATTTGCCGCTCTTTGACCCGGCTGCTGGTTGGCATAAACATATTCAGCTGTTTTTCTCTCCCCTGTGAAGGCAACCAAGACTGAAAGAGCTGCTCTCTGAGAACATACACTCACATCAGACACAAAAGCAGAACAACATGGAGATGGTGAAGAGGTGGAGGTCAGACTGGAGCTGTCCCACCACTCTGCTGTGCATCTATGGATTTTTTAGCACAGTTAAGCCGCTGGAGCCTTTTCTCTTTCCATTCCTGACAGGACCAGACAAGAATCTAACAAGTGAACAGGTACAAACGTTAACGAGCAGTGACTCGGGGACTTTCGCAAACCATCAGGAATATCTTATTCTACGCATGAAAAAGTTTTTGTGGCTGAGTGAATATGTGAGTTTTAGGCTTAGTTAATTAGTTGCCGATACTAAAACCAAACCTTACATGGTAAATCATTAATAACAAGTGTTATTAGAAAGGCTAAAGTCACGTTGGTGAACAACGAGAAAACATGAGATTCCAACAAAACTACCTTTGATTTACTGCAATGAAATTATACAGTTTGGACCATAATGCCTTAGAATATTAATTATTTTCCTTTAGACATAACACAGTAAAGTTTAAACAAATAGAAGTTTTAACACTGGCAGAAATAAAGCAATACAAGTTTAGGAGTTCCAGTCATTTAATAATTATTTATTGTCAAAAGCTGCTTAAGTTGTTCTCATTTATTGAAGGACAATGATGATAAAGCTTCTGAGTTTAAATGTTGTACTACAACAGTTAATATTTTGACTTGATTCCAGTATCACGTTAGATAACTTCTCACCTTTAAGGTGACACACATCCAGAGCTGTTTGAAAGATAAAAGAACCTACTGGACTGATCAAATCAGCTATTTGTTCTCTGTAATTACTATATGAGCAATTACTAATCTTTTTTTTTTCCTGGAAGCCCAGATAAGACTTTTATTAGAAATCATTTACAAATTATAAAAAAAGATAATGTTTAGTTAGATAAAACAACATTTTACAAAATAATAAAAAGGAGAAATGTTTGAGAAATCAAACTTCATCCTCTGAGACAGTGTACGGATCAGTATGGACACTACTGATGGTTACAAATAAAACAAAGTTTAATCATGCAATGATTGCCAGGTGCCGCATTAATTCCAAAATGTACAAAACAATATTGTCTTCTTTTACCTAACCCAATAAATCTATTGCTGAAAATGTAACTCAAAACAAAACGCCTAATAAAGAAGCATCAAGTGAAGGTGACGGTAGAAATAAAATAAATCCTAGCATTCTTTAAAGGGATGCACGTCATCACCTTTTGTGAGGCCATAATAGTGTGAATGCTTGTTAGTGTGAATGCTTGTTAGTGTGAATGCTTGTTAGTGTGAATGCTTGTTAGTGTGAATGCTTGTTAGTGTGAATGCTTGTTAGTGTGAATGCTTGTTAGTGTGAATGCTTGTTAGTGTGAATGCTTAACAAGCATTCACGTGATCCTGTTTATATTTATTATTATTCCGTATTCCAGTTACTATACTTCTTCCACACATTTTTCGGCATCACTCTTGTTCCACAATTTTTGTGCTATTTCAACAAATCATATTTCAAAACTGCTATGACTTTTGGTATTGGTGCAACTTTAGATTTTTTAAATATTTAGCTTTTTCTAAGACCTTTTTTCTCAGAAAATGAACTGAGCTCATTTTACACCTTTCAAATCTTTAGATCTGTTTACAACTTTTTACTGCTCCTTTCAAATTTTGTTCTAGTTCAGCTTCTTTCAGCTTCCTTGTGGAAATTAAAATGATAATAATAATAAGCAGCGGCTACTTTCAGCTAATTTCAGCTGTTTTGTGCTCCTTTCAGATTATTTCTGCTAACTACAACATATGTGTGCTTCTTTAACTTCTTTCCGCTAATTTCAGTTTGTTATGATCCTTTCAACTTATTTCTGTAAGTTTCAACTTTTTCTATTTCAGTTACTATATAGTATTTTATGCTAATTTAAGCTTTTTCAGCACGTTTTTTGCACCCATTTTAACTTTTTTCAGCCTAATTCAGCAAAAATCTACTTCCATCTCGTGATTTCAGCTTCGTTCTGCCTCTTTAGCTACTTTTCAGCTGGGTTTTTTTCCTTCCTAATTTCAGCTTTTTTCTAATAATTTAAACATTTTTGTGCAAATTTTTGCTACTTTCTGGGAAAACTGGGAAAACAACAAAAAAAGATCTGTGATCTCATTGGGATTAGCCTGGTTAAATAAAGGTTAATAAATGTGTTCTTTACTTTCTTTTGCTAAATTCAACTTGTTCTACCTTTTCAGCTACCTTTTAGAACATTTTAAGTTAATTTCAGCTGTTTTCAGACAAATTCAAGTTTTTCTTGATAAGTCCTGCTACTTTCAGCCTAATTAACGCCTTTCTGCTAAATCAAGCTTGTTATGCTCCTTTCAGCTTTTTTCAGCTAGTTTCAGCTTTTTCCATTTAGCTACTATTTAGCTGTTTTTTGTGCAAAATTTTTGCTTTTTAAGATAATTCCAATTATTTTGGGTAATATCAGCTCTTTCTACCTCCTTCTCATACGTTAAGCTTCTTTCTGCCTTTTTGGCTACTTTTTATGTATTCGTTGTTGTTGCTTATTTTAGCTTTTTTTTAAGCTGATTTCATCATTTTTGTGCTCATTTCTCCTATTTAAACCTAATTCAGCAAATATGTGTTCTTTCTGCTTTCTTCTGTCAGCTAAATTTCAGCATTCTTTGTTGTTGTTGCTAATTTCAGCTGTTTTTCCAGCAAGATCTTCTGCAATAAGCATTCACACTGCATTTTCGTAGGAAATGCAATTTCTCTAGTTTATTTTTGCTTTCACATTCACTATCAAAGTCTTACACTTACACTCAAAGTCTGTCACATTCCCTGTTACACATTAATAATAAATTCAAAGTCTCATTCATTCTCAGTCACATTCTCTATAAAACTCACTTCCACCATCAGTCACTCACATTCAGTGAAAGTCTTTCATGTTCATGGTCAAATGGGTTAGCTTCAAAAGTTAATTAATTATTCCAGAGTCAATGAATTATTCCTGAAAGTTTCAATATAATTTGGTTCATAAGTTATTCTATAACAGGCAGAGTTGAATCCAAGTAGTTGGAAAAAAAATCGTAAACATTTTGTGCAATCTATTGGCACACAGAACGTATTGGGGACGATGCTCAGCTACTACCACACCAAGTATTAAGGTCAGTTAGCTCTGGCAGCCATTTTGAATCGAGTTGACTTGACAATTTTACTTGTAGTGTAGGTCTACTGATGATTTTCCGAGTTTTATGCTTCATGAAATATTTTGCTAACGGTACAGACATGCACACAAACATAACCGTCTACTTTTCAGGAGGCAGCAACAGTTTTTTGGTGGGGAGGGGATCTGAACTTTGGACATCAAAATGTTATTTTATTAGTTATTTTACAGTTCCGGACTAACAAGCATTTGCACCCAGGTTTAATTATTTTTTTTTTTACAGTATATACAAATTTATGCAAGTTACTTTGTGCAATAAATCAGAGGCTGGCGTCATTGCAATGTTTTTTATTAAACATTTCATGAGCTAAATCTAAAAATCAATGACATCTTGATTCGCGGGCGGCACGGTGGCTCAGTTGGTAAAGCTGCTGCCTCTCAGGGAGAAGGTTGCCGGATTGAATTCTGTCCGGGGGGCCTTTCTGGGTGGAGTTTGCATGTTCTCTCTGTGTACACGTGGAGTAATCTAGTTTCCTCCCACAAACCAAAAATATACATGTTATGTTGATTGGTAACTCTAAATTGTCCCCCAGTGTGATGGACTGGAGACCCCCCACCTCTCACACAGTGACGGCTGGACATGGGCACCAGTGACCCGAAAAGAAATAAGTGGGTAAAGATAATGGATGGATGGATCTCAAAACTTTAAATACCATTTGATACCCACTCATAGAAGAAATCTCAAACATTATGTCCAAACACTGAAAAGTTGTTACTGCAGAACCATCTTTAAACATTGTTGTAACCACGCGTTCTTGCCAGGTCAACAACCAGATCTTCCCTGTGTGGACGTACTCCTACCTGTCAGTCTTGATGCCGGTGTTCCTGCTCACTGACTGGCTGCGTTACAAGCCTGTGGTGATCTTCCAGAGTGTGATGCTTCTCACCACCACAGCACTGCTGAGGTGGACAGGAAGTGTCCCGGCAATGCAAGCCATGCAGTTCTTCTATGGGGTGGTGACAGCCAGTGAGGTGGCCTACTTTTCCTACATATACAGGTCATGTGATGTAGCAAAAGGTCACATCATGAGCTCAAGTTTATTACAGTTGGTCTAATCTAACAGTCTGGACACTTTTCATTACAGTGTTGTGGACCTGAAGAGGTATCGGAAGGCCACGTCTTACAGCCGAAGCATCCAGCTCCTAGGATACACGATAGGCTCAGTGTTGGGTCAGCTGCTTGTCAGCTTTAACCTCATGTCCTACAACAACATTCTGATTTTTACTTTGGCTCTCACCGCCTGTGCTTTCCTCACCTCCTGTTTACTGCCAATGCCTCAGAGGAGTATGTTCTTCCACCGAAAACACTCTGGAGAGGTCCTGCCAGCGGGAGGAGTGAAGGCACCTGTAGAGGAAGCAAGCAATGGATCCCTGGATGAAATGAGGGATGAAAAGGTTGTGCACACAGAAGCTAAGACGTGTGCAGAAAAAGAGGACAAAGAGGAGTCTGCCAGTGCAGAGAGCTGCAACCAGGTCATCCTCCAGCTGTGGACAGACTTCAGACAGTGTTATTCCTCCAGACAGCTGCTCTACTGGTCCCTGTGGTGGGCGATGGCCACGTGTGGATACAACCAAACTGTCAACTATGTGCAGGTTGGTTTTAAGAGCAACTGAAAAAAAAAATAGACTAACAAAAAGTTTTTATCACAATGAACAATCCATTGAACAAAAAACATTTCTGTGATGAGAATTTGGTGACATTTGTGCCTGAAATTTCCCAACTTATAAACAGAAACAAATAAAGACAATAAACATTTTCCGACTCGCATGATTTCTGGAGACAGTAGTCCTCTTAGTGTCAGAAGGTTAACAATTTTGTGCCATTACCAATCAGAAAGTTCTATCTTCTCATCCTTCCTGTGATATCCCATGCAGGCGCTGTGGGAGCACAAGGAACCTTCCCAGAACTTTAGCATTTACAACGGGGGCGTGGAAGCAACATCCAACCTGTTGAGTAAGTGACACCAAATAAGGTTAAGCAGAGCAGGGTACGGACCTGAAACCTCCCAAAACAAACTAGAGATGTTGGTGATTGAGAAGAAATGCATTTTATTGGTTCTCAAAAATGTGAGTCTTCTGCATCCCTGCTTTTTTCCAGGTGCAGCAACGGCCTATGGTATAGGCTTCACTGAAGTGAGGTGGGAGCAGTGGGGGGAGCTGGCCTTGGGTGGTTTTTCTGGACTTGGTGCAGCTGCGTTGTTTCTCATGACTTTCACCAGCAACATCTGGGTCTGCTACGGCAGTTACGTCATGTTCAAGTGTTTGTACATGCTGCTGATAACAATCGCTATGTAAGGCTTTTACTCTTTTTGGGGTTATATGTATCTCCTGCCTCCGAAACGCAAAGATGAATGCTCATGTTTATGTGTGACTATAACATATTTTGATAAAACTTTCAGAATGTAATCAGTGGATGTACATCTACAACTGATTAAACAGTCTATACTATTCAAGATGGCTGACTTGACATTAGCAAACCAAAAAATAAAATAAGTAAAATGTCTGTAATAGTCCATTTAACAGATATTAAATTCAAGTTTTATGTGGTAGATACTGCAAGACATTGTCTAGAACATTATTTTCAAGGTTTGAGCAAAATGTCTATACAACTCTGATCCAAAAACTACTCCTATAGGTATCAGATTGCAGCAGACCTGTCAATGGAACGCTACGCTCTGGTTTTTGGGGCAAATAACTTTGGAGCGCTGGCTCTTCAGACAATTATCACGTCTGTTGTTGTCGACAGCAGCGGGCTGGGCCTCCCCATTGTTCCTCAGGTGAGAAATCTGGTTACAAAATATGGGACATCTGTGTAATTTATGATTATTAACTTGTGCGCTCTTCTACAGTTCATCATATACTCCAGCTACTTCTCAGTCATCTCAGTGGTTTTTTCACTTCGGGGACTATTTAACTGCTGGCGAAGGCAGAGAAACAAAAAAGAAGAAACTTTTGCAGATACAGGGGAACCTGTGACAATAAAAGAACACAAATTCTGACGCCGAAATAAACTGTTGTTATGGTTGCTTCATTTTGTAGCCCCATGTCCGTTTAAATGTGGGGACTCTGCCAATCTTCCTTACTAAATCATTCTTCACCAATCTGAACTGCCAGCTATCAGCATTTATTTGGAATAAAAAGGATCTACGGATTGCCAAGATGGTCTTACATCTGCCCCACAGACTTGGAGGCATATGTCATTTCCTACTTTCATGCAGTATTACTGGGCAGCTAATATCAGAGCTATACTATTCTGGATGGGTAAGGATACCCCTTCTATAGTTGGGTAGCCTTGGAAAGGGTCTTGATTAGATCCATCTTCCCCTCTGCATTACTCTGCTCTTGTCTGCCTTTTTAAACAGTCAACATCAACAAACACTTCAAACCCATTTATGATCTGGACGGTTAAGATTTGGAATCCGTTCCAAGAGGGCATTTAACTCCAGAGTTACTGTGTCTGGCGCCAATGTCAGATAATCATACGATTACTCCCTCAGTAGCTGATACAGCTTTTGGCACCTGGGTCTTGAGGGGAGTGCATTCACTGTGTGATCTCTATGTTAATGATAAATGTGCCTCTTTTGAGCAGCTGGTACAGAAGTTTAATATCCACAAGTCAGTTTTTCAGAAATTTGCAGCTGAGACATTTTGTGAGGCAACCTTGCGGCCGCAGCTCTGGTAAGCCGCCTCGACAATAGAGGCACGAAACATGGTCCACTCAGACTCAATGTCCCCCACCTCCCTTGGAACATGTTCAAAGTTCTCCCGGAGGTGGGAGTTGAAACTCCGTCTCACAGGAGACTCTGCCAGACGTTCCCAGCAAACCCTCACAATACGTTTGGGCCTACCAGGTCTGACCGGCATCCTCCCCCACCATCGGAGCCAACTCACCACCAGGTAGTGATCAGTTGACAGCTCCGCCCCTCTCTTCACCCGAGTGTCCAAGACATGTGGCCGCAGATCAGATGAGACGATGACAAAGTCGATCATCGAACTGCGGCCTAGGGTGTCCTGGTGCCAAGAGCACATATGGACACTCTTATGCCTGAACAAGGTGTTCGTTATTGACAATCCATGACGAGCACAGAAGTCTAACAACAGAACACCACTCTGGTTCAGATCAGGGGGGCCGTTCCTCCCAACCACACCCCTCCAGGTCTCACTGTCATTGCCCACATGAGCATTGAAGTCCCCCAGCAGAACAAGGGAGTCCCCAGAAGGTGCACTTTCCAGTACCCCCTCTAAGGACTCCAGAAAGGGTGGATAATCTGAATTGCCGTTTGGTGCATAAGCACAAACGACAGTCAGAACCCGTCCCCCCACACGTAGGCGGAGAGAGGCCACCCTCTCATTCACCGGGGTGAACCCCAATACACAGGCACCAAGTTGGGGGGCAATTAGTACGCCCACGCCTGCTCGGCGCCTCTCACCAGGGGCAACTCCAGAGTGGAAGAGTGTCCAGCCCCTCTCAAGGAAACTGGTTCCAGAGCCCGAGCCATGCGTAGAGGTGAGTCCGACTATTTCTAGCCGGAACCTCTCAGCCTCACACACCAGCTCAGGCTCCTTCCCCACCAGTGAGGTGACATTCCACGTCCCAATAGCCAGCTTCTGTAGCCGAGGATCAGACCGCCAGGGTCCCCGCCCTCGGCCACCACCCATCCCACATTGCACCCGACCCCTTTGGCCCCTCCCACAGGTGGTGAGCCCATGGGAAGGGGGACCCACGTCTCCTCTTCGGGCTGTGCCCGGCCGAGCTCCATGGGTAAAAGCCCGGCCACCAGGCGCTCGCCCACGTGCCCCACCTCCAGGCCTGGCTCCAGAGTGGGGCCCCGGTGACCCACGTCCGGGCAAGGGAACACTAGGTCCATTTGTGTTTTTCATCATGGGGTGTGTTTGGGCTGCACTTTGTCTGGTCCCTCACCGACAACCTTGCGGCTGCGGCCGCAAGGTTGTCGGTGCCTGTCGCGGCGGCAACCCTCGAACCCGATGGTGGACACCGTCGGTGAGGGATGCTGTCAGGCTGAAGAAGGAGTCCTATCGGGCCTTTTTGGCCTGTGGGACCCCGGAAGCAGCTGATGGGTACCGGCAGTCCAAGCGACATGCTGCTCGGGTGGTTGCTGAGGCAAAAACTCGGGCATGGGAGGAGTTCGGAGAGGCCATGGAGAACGACTTCCGCACGGCTTCGAGACGTTTCTGGTCCACCATCCGGCGTCTCAGGGGGGGGAAGCGGTATGCCACCAACACTGTTTATAGTGGGAGTGGTGTGCTGCTGACCTCAACTCGGGATGTTGTGGGTCGGTGGGCGGAATACTTTGAAGACCTCTTCAATCCCACCGGCACGTCTTCCACTGAGGAAGCGGAGCCTGGGGACTCTGGGTCGGGCCCTCCAATCTCTGGTGCTGAGGTCACCGAGGTGGTTAAAAAGCTCCTCGGTGGCAGGGCCCCAGGGGTGGATGAGATCCGCCCAGAGTTCCTTAAGGCTCTGGATGTTGTAGGGTTGTGTTGGCTTACGCGACTCTGCAATGTTGCATGGACATCGGGGGAAGTTCCCCTGGATTGGCAGACCGGGGTGGTGGTCCCCCTATTCAAAAAGGGGGACCGTAGAGTGTGTTCCAACTACAGGGGAATCACGCTCTTAAGCCTCCCTGGTAAGGTCTATTCGGGGGTTCTGGAGAGGAGGGTCCGTCGGATAGTCGAACCTCGGATTCAGGAGGAACAGTGCGGTTTTCGTCCTGGCCGTGGAACACTGGACCAGCTCTACACTCTCAGCAGGGTCCTGGAGGGTGCGTGGGAGTTTGCCCAACCAGTCTACATGTGCTTTGTGGACTTGGAGAAGGCGTTCGACCGTGTCCCTCGGGGGGCCCTGTGGGGGGTACTCTGGGAGTATGGGGTACCAGGCCCTTTGATACGGGCTGTTAGGTCCCTGTATGACCGGTGTCAGAGCCTGGTCTGCATTGCCGGCAGTAAGTCGGGCTTGTTCCCGGTGAGAGTTGGACTCCGCCAAGGTTGCCCTTTGTCACCGATTCTGTTCATAACTTTTATGGACAGAATTTCTAGGCGCAGCCAAGGTGTTGAGGGGATCCGTTTTGGTAGCCTCAGAATTGCGTCTCTGCTTTTTGCAAATGATGTGGTCTTATTGGCTTCATCAGATCGTGATCTACAGCTTTCGCTGGAGCGGTTCGCAGCCGAATGCGATGCGGCCGGGATGAAGATCAGTTCCTCCAAATCCGAGGCCATGGTCTTGAGCCGGAAAAGGGTAGAGTGCCCTCTCTGGGTCAGGGAGGAGGTCTTACCCCAAGTGGAGGAGTTCAAGTATCTTGGGGTCTTGTTCACGAATGAGGGAAAAATGGAGCGTGAGATCGATAGGCGGATAGGTGCAGCGTCTGCAGTGAAGCGGGCGCTGTACAGGTCTGTCGTGGTGAAGAGAGAGCTGAGTCAAAAGGCGAAGCTCTCAATTTACCGATCGATCTACGTTCCCACCCTCATCTATGGTCACGAGCTTTGGGTTGTGACCGAAAGAATGAGATCTCGGATACAAGCGGCCGAAATGAGTTTTCTCCGCAGGGTGTCTGGGCTCTCCCTTAGAGACAGGGTGAGAAGCTCGATCATCCGGGAGGGACTCGGAGTAGAGCCGCTGCTTCTCCACATCGAGAGGAGCCAGTTGAGGTGGCTTGGGCATCTGTTTAGGATGCCTTCTGGACGCCTCCCTGGTGAGGTGTTCCGGACACGTCCCACCGGAAGGAGGCCCAGGGGAAGACCCAGGACACGCTGGAGGGACTACGTTTCTCGGCTGGCCTGGGAACGCCTCGGGATTCCCCCGGAAGAGCTGGCCCAAGTGGCTGGGGAGAGGGAAGTCTGGGCCTCCCTACTTAGGCTGCTACCCCCGCGACCCGACCCCGGATAAGCGGAAGAAAATGGATGGATGGATGGACATTTTGTGAGGTCTAACTCTGTTTTCCTTTGTACCCTTCTAAACATTTTGTGGTTAAGATTTTGGAATGCAGGTCTGATACTAAGGGGGTCCCCAGCAAGATCAATACACTGCTCAGTTCATACCATGAGACCAGTTCGGACTCCCTTAAACTGAAATGGGAAACAGACTTGGATTAATCCATATCAAACTCTATCTGGAGAAAGATCATTAAGAACATTTACTCATCCTCAATCTGTCTAAGACATGCTGTAATTCAGTGCACTGGTCCAAAGACAAGCTGTCCAAAATCAAAGCCGACCTGGACTCTGCATGTAATCGTTGTCAACAAACTCCAGCTACACTCATGCATACATTCTGGACCTGTCCCAAACTGCAGAACTTTTGGCACTCTATTTTTGACACCTTCTCTGGGATATGTGGGAGAACTGTGCACCCATCATCGCACTGATCAGGGTGGTCCCTGTGGATACCTCCCTCAGAAAGTACGAGAAGGATGTGATTGCTTTTGGCTCTCTCCTGGCCAGAAGACTTGTTTCGTGTAATTGGAAGGACCCACACCTCCCAGCATATGTACATTGGATAAGAGAAGTGATGCATCAAATTCATTCAGAAAAAAATCAGATAAACTCTGAAGGGTTTTGTTAAAAGATCTTGGGACACCTGGCAACCTTTTATGTTGCATGTTGAAAACTTGTCCAATGCCTGTTTAGTTTATTTGTGTGCGTGTGTCTGATCCGGTGTGAGAAGAGTTCTTGTTCTTTGTATTCACCTTTTTGTTTGTATGTTCAAAAAAGTAAATAAATCTGACTGTTAAAAAAAGTGGGGAAAATAAAAAAAACGTAAAATAAAATAAAAAAAACACATCATTAAACAGTTCGATCATTTCTTTTTACATAAAATTGATTTTAATATATATTCTGTATATATTTACACATTAACTTAAAATTATTTAACATCCAATGAAAGTGGTTTTCAGTCCAACAGTCATTCTGGTTCTTCACATTGGATTGTGGTTGTCGTTCTGAAGTGTTGTGACCTGGGCCTCTGTCTACAAGACGGGAGGAGATGGCAGAGCAAAGTGTCCGCCCGTTTCTGACGCAGCTTTCATTTCGTTTTTAACGTTCAGCAGTGAAATATTTTTCCTTGTGTGAGAATAATTTACTCAAAAAGTTCTGCGCAAATGAACAGTTTTGCTCTTTACGAATACAGAAACTGGCAGTAATCAAGCAACAGCCCTGTCTGATATTCTGTGTTATACAAATACTGATGCACAAACAGCTAACGTCATAAAGAAAAAAAACAATATGTACAAAAACTGCAGCATAATGAATGAGATACACTGGATGCAATAACTTAAGTTTTTGAGCCAGTTTGAGTATACAATGTGGCTCAGTGGAGTCTCGGCCAGTTCACAGGTTAAATAGAGGAAGAGCGGGTCGACCTCCTCCTCGGCATTCACTGTTACTTTCCTTTATAGTGACAAACAGTGTCAGCATGACTGCCTCGCACATTGTTCTGTTTGTGACAAACCGCGATAGAAAATACAAATTCTTACAAACATTGTGTTTTTTTAAAGCTACTTGTGAAACAAAACAGTGCAATAGGTGCAAGTGCGCCAGGCGTTGACCCTGTAGGGCAGCTGACAAGATGGCTCGCTATAAGAAGGGGTTTGTTGAGGAGCCTCCGGCTGGATACTGTGGAGGTGGACCTGAACCCTGGAATCAGAGGGGTACAGAGGAGAGTCAGAAAACAAGACAAACTAGTGATTTCTGAAGTGTTGTTCTGTCAAACAGTTATCAATAGTTACCTTATGAGCAGTGGCATCAGAAAAAAAAGAGGCAAAAACATATAAGGTGAAATATTAGCTCATGTAGCATTCCTTTACACCATGACGTTTTTCAGATTTGAAAAGGGCGTGGGAATTATCAACAGCCTCCGAGTTGTTTTAAAGGTCTGAAAATCTATATATACATAGAAGTTTAGCTATTCATTCCTGGACAAAGACTTCTGCTTCATTCTCCATACTCTGCCCAATGACTGACGTCGTGGCTGATATGCTACGAACTACTGATAATAATTTAACAGAACATCACTTCAAAAATTGCAAGACTATTTAAAAAAATATTTTCTTCAAATTATTTAATGTTTTGTCAAAATGAACACAAATTTAATAACTCTCTTGAAAAAAAACCATAGCTTCAGTGTAAAATGTTCATTTTAAAGCTTTCATTAAAGCAATGTGATATTTAGCAATAACAATTAAGTTTGACTTTGGTTCTACAAATCAATGTTTTGTTGTACCCAAAACAAATGATTTGAGGCTCTGTGAAAACTTGGGAGCATTTATTAAGTTGTGCCCATTTGTATGAGTACTGTATATCAGATGTGTGTATTGGCAATTTGTTCTGACCAGAAAGGGGTTGCAAGGGACCACTGGGGCTGTCACAGCCTGTCCAAACGGAGCCACAACAGGCTTGGCCTGACCGAAGGCTGGAAATCCTCCTCCTGAAAGACCAACAGCATTAAGAAATCATACCATATAACTTTGAACGACAACATCTATGTAGGTGGAACAGATATACTAAGTATGGTGCAAATTTAAGCTTAAAGAATAATGTGGTTTACAGCTATGTGACACACACCGTTAAGTTGTTGAGGATATGCAGGAGGCTGAGGGAAAGGAGCCTGGCCAGGAAAAGCTGGCTGGAATGTTCCACTAAAGCTGGTGGGGAGATTGTAGGCTGCAGCGTTCCCAAATCCAGCTGGCATACTCATGGAGCCTGTGCCAAAAGATGCTGCAACACAGCAGGACAGGAACAGTTAGAGAAGCCTAAACGAGCCTCAGCACTGAAGGCGTGCATCAATGAAGCACGACAAACTGACCAGCATCAGCAAACTAAAGCAAAAACCATCTGAGGATTTTAAGATCAGTTTTGTTATGTAGCTGGAGAGATAAAATAACATGTAAACATCGACAAATACTTTTACGATAAATGTGAAATTTGTCAAATACGTTTTCGGAGTTGCTAATTATATTTAAGGAAAGAATTGTGAATCTGTAACCTGTTTGCTTCAGTATGGAAAATGTGCTTCTATTCCTTTTCTTCTTGCATAAATGCTTAGAATCTGACAGATTACACACATATGACAGTTTAAACACGTGTCAAATCAAATCCACTTCTGTGTGCAGTTCTGAATGAGCCCTTAAGAGCAAATACATAACTGGGATGAAACAACCAGTTCAAACTGAACAACCTCCACCTTTTCCTCCCATATGGTGAAAAGTCGCCTAACAGAAGGGCATGACGTTCCATAGCTACGGTACAAGTGCATCCTCAAGCTTTATTCTAATAGATTTATGGCAAAAAATATTAGTCTCGGTCACAGCAGGGCACAAGAAAACGAAACAAATAAACCCACACATCACACAGCAACCTACCCAAGGAGGAGGGATGACCCTGCCAATGAAGAGCACCCATCAACCCTGTCCAGCATGGCAAAAATAATCAGTCAACTTTTAATTCTGCACTCTGCTAACTCTTTAATCCAGAGCAGTAAAGACCTGCTACCCATCTGTGTATGTTTGACAGCACTTTACAAAAGTGCAATGGAAAATTGTTGCCATTTCAGGCGTGCAAACAGCTACAGGATGATAGGCTAACTATATAAAAACATCACTTCACACAAAAATTGATTCTATTTGAATTATTAAAGTAGCTAACTAGTTTCACAAGCACACACTGAAGTGCAATGAAATAAACCTGCTGCCGCCGCCACATGTGGTGCTCTGCCATTACACTGGAATGGGTTGGTGGGAGGGGCAACAGGGCCAGCAGCTACAAATGGATTAGTTGATGGTGGTACTGGAGAAAAGCAAACAAGTTTAAAAAAACACAAGAAAGTAACAAGAAACACAACATGGAAGTGCAAGGCCTAAATATGTCACTAATATCTGCTTTTTTTGTGAGTGTTTCATTTTTAATATGAAACTTTGTAATAAAAGTAGTAAGATTTGCACAATTTTTGAGCAGTCAGATAAAGAAAAATGTCAGAAAAACTGTTTTATATTACAAAAAAAATTTTTTAAACTCCTTCCAAATAATTGAGACATAGTTAAAAAAGGTTCAAATCAAACCAAAACTACTACCAACAACTAACTAAAAAAAAGGAATACAACTCAAAACTGACATAACCCAAAATTTTACAGACCGAAACAGGAAACATATAATTCATATAAATTACTTTATCTGCATTTACCAAAATAAAATTCCAAGAGTTTACATGGATCCTAAAGGTAAGCACAAATCCTGAACTGGTAAAGTCAACTAGAATTCAAATGGTACTGGACATAAAAGCTTTGCCTCACCTCCAAAACCCTGAACGCCACCGGGCATGGCTTGATGTGCTTGTGCTGCTGACGCCACCGTCTCTGATCCAAACACACCGCTGCAATGACAACATCAACAACATCAAAAACAAGAGAGCAATGTGGTGGCTACACACTTTTTCAAGTTGCTATGTATAAAAGCTACTTTATCACTGAAAACTGTAATTAACTTTGACTATGAAACCCATCTATAAGCCACTGGTTCTGAAACTGGGGACCCCGGACCCCCGAGGGTCTGTAAGCCGGTGCTTGGGGGTCCACAAAAAATAATTAACAACCAAGTAGATGTTTAACAACCCGTTAAAATACACCAAAATGCAAAAAATCACATCTACTTTATTCAAAATTTTCTAGGGGGAGGACCTCCAGACCCCCAAACTGTTTGCGTTTCGGCATCGATCAGTTTACAAATGAAGTCCTGTTACTTGGTCCGACTACTGCTGCTATGATTCTGTTCAGTTTTCTGTAAACAGTTTTCTGTAATAATTTAAAGAAGTGTCAATACATTTATTATGTTCATTATGTGAATATGTAAAGTTTTAAGTGGTTTTTGATTCTGTTAATTTTCTCTAAACTGTAATTTTTGGAAGTTGAAATTAAAAATGTTGTTAAGTGTGTCTTAAATGAAAAATACCCCATGTTTAAAAGTATAAACATTGTATATTAACACTATTAAAGAACATATCTTAAGTATTTATGTTACACAAATATTTCCATTGCATTAAAGAGACAAATTGAAGAACATTATTTAACAAACATGAGGGTTATGAGGGGGTCCCTGAACCCAAAAAGTTTGAGAACCCCAGCTATAATCACATCACCATGCTTCCTTCAGTAATAGGTACAAGCATCACATATTGTTACCATAGTATAATAAACAATATGCTTATAATGATTATTAAAAGCCATAAATTAAACATTTTGGAAAACTAAACGATGGTATTTTGCATTCTTATGTGTATGTGTTAAGTTAAGGAGGTATCTAACCCCTTTGAGGTGCTGGAGGTGTTGTAAACACTGGTGGCAGGAGCAGCAGAGCTGAAGACGGTATCAAGCTCTGCTAAAGCAGCGTAGCGGTCTCCCCCTCCTGTACCTGCTGGCTGCTTCTGAACCAAACCAGAAACTCCTCCTGCTGCTGCAGCGCTCACCCCAGCAGGAACAGCTCCTCCTGAAAGAAAAGTGCATAAAAACAGAGGTTGGTTCGGTCCATCTCAGCTCAACTAAAAATCACAACAAGCTCGTTGACTTCCCAAAACAAAAAAGTCCCAAAAGCTGCCATATATAGATAAACATAACCAGGAATAAATGTTATTCAAAAATGTGCATTTTCTTGCAGAAAACACACTCACAGAAAATAAACTAAAAGAAAGGTCCAGAAAAACTAGACGCTTGAAGGCCAGAACTCTGACCATGTCATAAAAAACACAAACCACCATGTACAAGACTTTTTAAAATGAGTGAAGCTCAGCAGCTTGTTGTCTTTATCCAGGCTGGTCAGGTGTTACTAAGGCCAGGGAACTGAATGTGTGGGGAAGTACAGGTGTCTAAAAATGGAATGGATCACTGATTAAATAAAAAAAAAAAATCATCAGAATAAAACTAAAGGTTGGCCATGATTTGCGTATATTTAACTCTGCCCTGGCAAGAAAAATGCTCATAAAGACTTACATTTATGAGCCCAACAGAATAAAGTTTTGATTTTTATGTTATCCTCTTGACATGATCCTGTTGTCCTACAGTTGAGCTCTACAGAAATAAGCTGGGCCTGAGAAGTTTACCTTGCTCTGTACTGGCAGAGCTAAACATGTTATCCAGGTCAGCCAGGGCTGCGTATCTATCAGCAGGAACGCTAGTACTGTGTACAGCGTTATACTCGGCTCCTGTGGGGTTACTCTGGGAGGGGGAACTGAAGGATCCAAAGTCAGCACTACACGATTTGGGGAAGTTGTCAGAATTTGCAAAACTGGCATTTGCCAGTCCCTCTGAGGCGCTACCTGTATGAAAGAGAGAGATTAAAAAGTCATAAGGGGACCTTTGATTGCTGGTTTAGAGACAAAATTAAAGACAGTGGTATAAAAAACTTGAAGCAGCTTGGGTATAGTCGGGCTCAAGTCACTGGTGATCATTTGAACTCAATTCAGTTTACAAACTGGATTCCAAAAAAGTTGGGACACTAAACAAATTGTGAATAAAAACTGAATGCAATGATGTGGAGGTGCCAACATCTAATATTTTATTCAGAATAGAACACAAATCACAGATCAAAAGTTTAAACTGAGAGAATGTATCACTTTAAGGGAAAAATCTGTTGTTTCCAAATTTCATGGCGTCAACAAAT